TCATTGGCACTGCCTGCCTGAGCACAGCCTGCCCTCTCTCCACGCTCTTGAGCCACACTGAATCAGGAGTTGTAGGTTTTCGTTCATCTGCCTTGGCTGTGTCAGGTTCTCTAGCTCTAAGCAGGGACAGTAACACTTGACTTAGGACAATTATATTACTGAAATTCATGTAGTACAGGGGCCCATGTCTCTGATGGTTCTTTTTTGTTGTTCTTGTTTTGAGACAGGGTCTTGCTCTGTCACCCAGGCTGGTGTGCAGTGGAGCAATCATAGCTTACTACAGCTGCAGCCTCAACCTGCCAGGCACAAGTGATCCTCCCGTCTCAGCCTCCCAAGCATCTGGGACTACAGGCATGCACCACTATGCCTGGCTAATTTTTATTATTTTTTTGTAGGGACAGGGTCTCCCTTTGTTGCCAAGGCTGGTCTCGAACTCCTTGGGCTCAAGCAATCCTCCTGCCTCAGCCTTCCAAAGTGCTGGGATTACAGGCGTGAACCACCACGTCCGGCTTGATCTCTCTTGATAAACTAACTAATAATCATTCCCGGCTTTCACAACAGCCCAGGCAGATTAGATACTATTATCCTCATTTTACTAACTAAAAATTTGAACCTCAAGGAGGTTGTGACTTGGCTAAGGCAATGTGGCTGCTTCCACCTGGTTCCTCTTTACCTTTCACCGGAGTTTCTCAATAGTGGCACTATTTTTTTTTTTTTTAAGTGGTGCTGTTGGGCCAGGTCATTTGTTTTGTGGAGGGTAAGGGGAGCTGTCCTGTGCAGTGCAGCATGTTGAGCAGCATCCCTGGCCTCTACCCACTAGATGTCAGTGGCACTCTCCCCTAGTCGGCACAACCAGAAAATGTCTCTGGACACTGCCCCCAGCCTGTTGAGCACCACTGTCCTACTCCAAACCAGCTTTATGGAGGAAGCTCCTTGGGTTAGTTTGCATAGTGCCAAGCACAGCAGCGTACTTTTGGTGGTGAGCGCTTGTGTAGTCGATGGAGATACATAGAACTGTGGCCCTGTGGGCCGGCGGCAGACACCAGTGTCACTGTCTCTAGTGCAGAGTGGAGCTTGACCTTTGTTTTTCAGGCCTGGCCTTTTCTCCTTCGTTCTGTGCCCTCATTTTTCCAAATGCACTTCTCTCTGGACAGGTTTGTATGCGGTGAAAATCCGAGCTGAGGCCATGCAGGAAGCTTCAGAAGCTGTCCCCAGTGGGATGCTGTCTGTCCTCGGCCAGCGTCAGTCCGAGTTCAACTTTGCCTGTTTGGAAGCCCGGGAACACTGCAAGTCTCTAGGCATGGAGAACCCTGTATGTGAAGTGTCCAACTACCTCTTTCCAGATTGCAGGGTGATTTCAGGACACCGAGAGGTGGGTGTTGATGGGAGCCGCCTTCATAAACCCCAGTCGAGTACACAGGGTTGGAACTGCTCCACACCCGTGAGGCCCAGCAGTGTGGCGGGTGCTTTGTCCAGCCTGCTCTTCAGGAAGTATTTTGGTGCCAGGGCAGTGAGGTGGACTGAGTGCTGCAAAGCGGGCAGGAGCAAGAATGCTGCCCTGCTCCACCGTGTGTAGAATGGGGTCTGGAACCAACCAGCCAGCCCATGTAAAGGGGCAGGGCCAGGTGATCTCCAGGGCCTTCCCGTAGTACATTCTGGGCTTTTGAGGAGCCTCTGATCTGGTTGCTTCCTTAGAGAAAAGAGATCTGTTTTCTTTTCTTTTTTTTTTTTTGAGACGGAGTCTCTCTCTGTCGCCCAGGCTGGAGTGCAGTGGTGCGATCTCCACTCACTGCAAGCTCCACCTCCCGGGTTCACGCCAGTCTCCTGCCTCAGCCTCCAGTGTAGCTGGGACTACAGGCGCCTGCCACCGCGCCCGGCTAATTTTTGTATTTTTAGTAGAGACGGGGTTTCACCACGTTAGCCAGGATGGTCTCGATCTCCTGTCCTCGTGATCCGCCCGTCTCGGCCTCCCAAAGTGCTGGGATTACAGGCGTGAGCCACCGCGCCCGACCAAGAGATCTGTTTTCTGCTAGATCGCTCTGCCTGCCCTGCTTTTTTTAGGTGTCTGTTTTTGCACTGGAGTCCATTTCCTTTCCACCGTCTTTCCTTCCATTTGCTACTTCCCCAAACATTTATCAAGCGCTGGGGACGCACAGACTGATTAGCCAGGGTTCCTAGCGTCAAAGGAAGAACCCCTGTGAATGGATGACTCCAGGCTGAGGGGCGCAGTGAGGGTCTGGCTGACTACTGATGGGCCTAAGAGCAAACCCCGGAGGCAGCAGCTGGAGGATGGGCGTGCATTCACCAGCAGTGGGGCATCCTGAGCAGAGCGGCAGGAGCCCCCTACGGAAAGAGCAGTGGGTGCTGAGTGCCCGGCTCAGGGAATGCAGAGTGAGCGCAGATTGCAGCCCGTGTGAGGGGCTGCTGCCCAGACCAGGCATTTCTGTCTTACTTCGTGTCCCTCACAGCCCATCCTGTGCTATATGGAAGGAAGCGCTTCTTTTTTTTTTGAGACAGGGTCTCACTTTGTTGCCTAGGCTGGAGTACAGTGGCACCATCATGGCTCACTGCAGCCTGGACCTCTTGGGCTCAAGTGATCCCCCCACCTCAGTCTCCCAAGTAGCTGGGACTACAGACACAGGCCACCACACCCAGCTAAAGGAAGGGTTTCTTAATCACATTTTCCACACCAGAATGCTGAGGCAGAGAGAGGCGAGTGCTTGGGGATGGTAGCCTGAGCCCGTCTCACTCTGGAGTCTGTTTCCTCCACTTGACTGTGCTTGACTCCCCTTCCCCTTCGAGGGCTCACTGTATGCCAGGCGTTCCCGACTGCCTCCTCTGAAGGGAGCCTCCTGTGACTGTTCTGAGGTGGTAGGCAAGTCAGGTACGGTGGCCCCAGGTCAGTCACGGAGCTCGTTATGCATTCCCTGTAGCAGCTGTGGAAGGAAGCCCAGAAGTGACTCAGGAAGGACCTCCCAGTCAGGGCAGGAGTCTCCCCAGCAGGCTCCCAGACAGGTGCACCCAGTCTAGGTGACAACTCCTAGGTTTGTCCTTTTGGTACTTTTTTTTTTCTTTTTTTTTTGAGACAATGTCTTACTCTGTCATCCAGGCTACAGTACAGTGGCACGATCTTGGCTCACTGCAACCTCCACCTCCCAGGTTCAAGTGATTCTCCTGTAGCTGGGACTACAGGCGCACGCCACCATGCCCAGCTAATTTTTGTACTTTTAGTAGAGACGATTTCACCATGTTGGCCAGGCTGGTCTTGAACTCCTGACCTCAGGTGATCTGCCCACCTCAGCCTTCCAAAGTGCTGGGATTATAGGCGTGAGCCACTGTGCCCAGCTGTCCTTTGGTATTCTTGGTAGTGCCACAGCAAAGAGCTCAGGTGAGGGCAGGGGTAACTCCTCAGTGGGGAAGCCCCTTTCCAACAACTGATGTGAAAAGGCTCCTGGGCCCTGCTCGCCCAACGCCTGGGCCAAGGACTGGCCATTGCAGAGGAGCCTGCTGGCCCCTGTGATGGTGACCTTGACCCCTGTGGCCCTAGCCTGGGACTTGAGAGGGCTCAACTGTTGAGCCAGAGTCCAGAGACCTTACACGGAAAGCACTTTGAGACCACAGATGCTCCAGGAAGTGCTACTGAGTAGCCATCCCCATACCTGCCAGTCACTCAGACAATCTAGGTGTGGAGGGAGGGGCTTGGGCTACAGAGTCCAGAAGGCCCAGACCAAAGAGGCTCCTGGTTCCTGCAATCCAGCCCTCAGTGGGATAAAGCCGGATGGAGGGTGATAGTGGAGGGGAAGCATGGGTGAGTCAGTACAAGCCAGGTTTTGCTGCAGTGACAAGTAGCCCAGGGAGCTGTCCTGTGCAGTGCAGCATGTTGAGCA